TTCCAGCTCCCCAGCTACTCCGCGTACTACAGTTGTACTACAAAGTCACCAGTGCTCATCTCCCAGCTCCCCAGATACTCCACGCCTCTCGCCTGCATTTCGCGCACTCGACGCGCACGATCTCCGCAGAGGGTTGCGCGGGCACCCGCCAAATCGCACTCTCGCCTGCATTTCGCGCACTCGACACGCACGATCTCCGCAGAGGGTTGGCGGGGAGCCGGCGAATCGCACTCTCGCCTGCACTTCGCGCACTCGACACGCACGATCTCCGCAGAGGGTTGCGCGGGCACCCGACGAATCGCACTCTCGCCTGCATTTCGCGCACTCGACACGCACGATCTCCGCAGAGGGTTGCGCGCGGACCGGACAAATCGCACTCTCGCCTGCATTTCGCGCACTCGACACGCACGATCTCCGCAGAGGGTTGCACTTTCGGTTGACGCTGTTCGTCCCGCCCTCCGCCTTTAAGAGAGAATTTATAAAGTGGGGAAATGTTTTTTCATTAGGACATCTCCCGTGCTAGTTTTCCATACTCACACTTGCCTACTCATTGCATGCTTGCATGCTCAAAGCATGCTTGCGTACCCATCACTTGCATACTTACACTGCGTGCTTGCCGAGTGTCAGTGTGTATGTGTCAGTGTCAGTGTCGAAGTGTCAGTGTATGTAGTGCGAATGTGGTGGAAGTGTCAGTGTGTAAGTGTAAGTGTCGAAGTGTCAGTGTTCAAGGGATTTTCCGGAAGAACCCTTCGCAATGCTTTCGGGAAAACAAAAGTGTTTTTGCAGCGATTTTGACAGGGGTTGGGTAAAGATCAGTTCTAACAGGGGCAGAAGTTTGTCGACCATCCACTCAGAAATATATGACAACTCCACCAGCCAACAGCAAAATGGTCAAGAAGGCTGCTGCGTGCTGTAGCTGTACCAGTCAATGAACATCATGTCTCCCCAAGAAGATCTGAATCCTGTACCTAAGATATATTTAAATGCTCGATGATGATGATGTTGACTCACCTTTGATGTTGACTTCTGGATTGAAATTGTTATGTTTGATCCACTCCATCAAACGTAGAATGCGGAGCATGGACTGAAACAACACATACAGTTCCGCGTGCTTGGAAAAGGGCAATCTTGATCTTTCAGACTGTCATGATGGACCAGGATGGAGTGGATTTAAGTTGATGTCTCAATCAGCCTTTTATATAACACTTTTTGCTTCTGTCGACTTGGAACCAAGGCCCCCTCAAGAGTCTTAGAAAAAATGAACAATTTGCCACTGTAATAAGCTACAAAATGATACTCTTCTACTTGGCAAGCAACTTACAAACTGCAAATAAGTTACAAATGATCCGAGTCAAGTCTTGTCAATTTCTTTGAGTGTGTTTCCACTTTCACTCTTGTCCACCCGGACACGGTCGGCCACGGTAAAACACGCCCAAATCGACCAAGGCGATTCCAACACCCTTTCCACCTTGATCTGGCGCAAAAACGCCGAAAAATTGGAAGACATATGAAGAAATCCTTCACGACCTGAGATCTACGCAAAAAACCGAGGTTGACCATCACCTTCACTTTTTTTGGGGGGTGAATTTCTGCAACTCCCAGCTGACCATGTCCACTTGTCCCAGCTGAAGGCCTTCAGAATTCCAGCCGGAACGCCCAGCTGCCCGGTCTGGAGATGTGCGAAGCGGCTGAGACTCGAAACACACCCGATGAAACGAAGTGAATGGCATGGTCCTTTGAATGGAAAACAACGCGGCTGGCCCGAACACGGAGTGCCATTCACTGAGTGGAGTGAGTTGGGGGAGAGTGAGGGAGTGTGAGTGAGCATGCGAGTGCGCGCGCGTGAATGTGTGCGCGCGCGTGAGTGAGCGTGAGTGAGAGTGAGGGAGGGAGGGAAGGAGGGAGGGAGTAGAAGTTGTCCAACAACATTCTCCACTGCGATCATGCACTGTCTTCATAGAAAGCTGTCATTTCTTGGTCTAGGCCACATACAGTTTGGATTCCAATGCTTTCTATGAATCTTCCTGCATATATATACATAAACACTCTCTTAGTGTGTCACTCCTCACGCCGATTCAAAAAGGCAACACTCACTTTTCTCGCTGATCATTCAGAAATCTGTTCTGCAACACTTGGCCGACCGGATGCATGATGTGTAATTGTGCTCCTTTCAAGTGGCGTAAACATCGCTCCAAACACACTTCTGCGTCCATGAAACAAGGTGTATAATATACTGTGTATATATATATATAGACAGCTTCACAAGCGTAACAGTGGTTTGGAGAACTTGAACAAACACAAACACAATTATGATTCTGATTTTGTGCCTGCAATGAATGAACCACATCACATCCCCCTTCTCAACTGGCACAACTACCGGTTAAGTCAATTACAGCGGGATTTGTGTCAAACATGGGCTATGGCCTATGGCTGTCCCCAAAGAGATCGTGTCACAATGAACACAACGCACATTGTTTGACATGTGTTTTTGATTGTTTTTGGCATGAAGGAGATGCAACAAGAAGCTACTAGTAACAAAGGGCATCGCTACGAACGGAGCGTTCGGACGCTACGAACGGGGCTCCTGGCCTCGCTACGAACGGAGAAATGTTCGCTATACTAAAGGAGCTAACTAGGTCGGTGCCGCATTCCCAATGCTCCTTCGGATTCCCCTCCCTCCGAGAGAAGCTTCCTGGGCGTCCCCCGCCGCTGCCAGGGTCGCACGCTCCTCCGCGGCATTGGCCTGGCTGGTGAAACCCTGGCAGCTTCGCCTTTGCTGTGGGGGAAGACCCTGGGTTGACCACGGTTCGCCGGTTGAAATGAACTCTGAACTTATCGAAGAAGGCCTTTCTTACTTGCGATGGGCCTATAAACTGCACCCAGGCACGTTCTCCCAGGCTACCTGCAAACATGACTGGACCGTCAAGGTGTCCACATAGTTTCCACTTTTGTCCACTTTGATTCTTCCGCGCCCAACATACTGATCATACTGTAGATGATGTTCCCGGCCATATGAGACGCCATGTATCCCGGTTATATGAGATGCCGTAGTCTTTGACATTTATCCCGGCCAAATGAGTTCTGCCTAACCCTCAGCCTGCATGTATCGAACGATGTCCTTCAGCATGTCAGGACCTGCATCTCGACCACACGCGCTGCACACGCCGACAGGGACCGTTGGGAGGTCGGACCACAGCCACGTCCAAGGTCTTGGTCGGGAATTGGATGGTTTTTCAGGGTTTGAGGTGTAGAACAAGCCGTCAATGTAGAACTGATGGGCACTGATGGGCATGATGTTCACTTTGGTGCTACCGATTTGGGAGGTCTCAAACACTGGGATCCTGACCCTGCGCGCAAAGCGCGATGTTCCAACGGCTCCCTTCAAACACTTCGAGAAACCATTCTCTGAACGGTTTGAGGAGATGCTGAGGAAGGATCTTCAAGGCGCGGCTTATGGTCGCATGCTTTGGTAGTTGCATCTGGCAGCTTGAACTTTCACGAACATCTACAAGTGGTTCATTGGAAATGAAGAAGAAGAAGAAGAAGAACATTGGAAAGAACTTTGGAAAGAACAGAAAGAACTTCTTCTGTCCTCCTCTTGAATGAAGAAGCAAAGAAGAAGGAACTTTGGAATTGCCACGCCTCCTGGAAAGCTCTCCAGGGTCAGGATGGGTTCATCGGCACCTGGATGGTTCATCGGCACCGGTGACTCTTTGCAGCGTGGCTCCTCCGCTCCAAAACCGAACCGTTCGGGGTCAATGGATGGTCTATGCGAAAGAGTACGCAAGTACGAAGCCTCGATACTTCATCTCCAGCGCTCTATAGCTAGTATGTTCTTGCAAGAAACATCAAGAACCTCAACTAACGGTACTGACGAAACAATGACGACTCGCTTTGTGTAGAGCTCATGTTCTGATCTCCGTTCTCTGGACAAAGCTTGCAAGACCCCCTAGTTCACTTGAGCAATAGTAGAATTGAATACAGTATATTGGCGGTAGTCATCATCACGCCATGGGATGTTGACCTATGGGATGTTGGAATTCAATCACCCATGGTTTTACATGGTTTTACGCGGTTGAATCTCGTGTCTGCATTCGACAGCAACCAAAACAACAAACTCTTGGACTCTTGGCACAGGTATTTGGACCCCTCTTCAAACAGGCAATTCCGCGGAACGGATTCCCCTTTTGCTTCTTACAACACGGGGGTCACGGGTAATTGGAAGCAACATGGATCCCCTTTTCAAAGGGTGGGAAAGTACGGATAGCACTAGGTGGTTCCATTCTCCACTAGCTGCTTCTCCGCCACCCCTCCCTACCCACAACTCAAGCACGCCTGCTGATCTCACGCTGCTCAACGCAGCGAAGGCGGCCGCCTGCGAATGGAGAGATGGGCAACCAAGACTTGTGGCAACTGGGAACTGGGTTCAAACGGATCGCAGAAAGTATCTGGTCAATCTCTCTTTGCCAGCAGGTACAATCACTGTCACTTTGTCTGATGTGAATGCATTATCTGTCCTTGGTACACAGTTCAGGTGTCCCATAATCAACAATAACAAGTGCCTCAACAAAACATGTCAAACTTTTCATGCTAGTAGAAACAAAAAGCTACTAGTGGATACTAGGGGCTCCTGGCATCGCTACGAACGGAGCATGAACACACAGCACCGAAGGCCCGCGCCGGCACCCCCTGTCTTTCAAGGGCACGAAGGCCGGCACTGGCGAGGTCCTGGCTGTGCCTCGCCTGAGAGGCGCAGGCCTTTAGGTCCAGCTTCACTTCCTTGAGCAGCGACTAGAAAAGACTTCACGGGTTGAATGATCAATAGTAAGAAAGGGGTTGATTGAATCGACTTCAGCATGTTTCTTTGAGCTCATCGATTCACAATCGTCACAGTTCCCTGGCTGAAGATCGCCAAGATTGTCGCTGTTCTATCTGCATGGAGTTGTATCATGTTGTAATTACATTGTAATTGTACCCATCTTCACCCTACTCCAAGCCACGGTAAACCAAACAAAAACAACAAACTATGACAAACTGACCAACCGCTCTGGGTCTCTGGGTGGTCTACTGTTCTTCTCATGAATTAAACATAATGACATTTCTCGGACGGTCTGGTTTCTGGCCTGTCCCTCCACCTGGATGCTCACAAAGTCTGGCTGGTACACCTCCAGCACCGAGGGTTTTCCGCCTCGAGGGGAATGAGTTTACCGCGCTGAAAAGCGCATGAGACGAGCGAACTGCATTCGTCGCACTGAACGGGTGCAATGGGGTGGGGAAGGGTATAACATGGGGCAATGAGGTTTTCCAGGAACTTGCAGTCTCCCAGGTGCTGTTGGTCTACATCTAATGTAGACTGATTGATAACCCCTAGACATATGAAGACATATGAAGAGGTTGTTCAATCATCATTTTATTCATCGCTGCAGCTTCTCTGGTTCTTCGAGACGCACCTCTTAGGACTGGGATGGAGCGACAGATTTCACAGAAGTCCCCACAGATGGCCGGTGCGCTCCTCAACATCTGTCGATCAATTGTGGCAGTTGTTCTTGTACCTAAGCACTTTCTATGGCTCAAACATCACCGAATCATTGGCTTCCGCACTGCTCTCAGCAGTCTTCGCTTCCTGGGCATGGCTGGATCTAACGTGATGTTCAATGGAACCCGTTTCTTCGTATACCAGCGGGACCTGCGAGTACCCCAAAAACCACTTCTCGGCATCGTTTCTGCGCCCCCCTTCAAAGGTCCAGAGACTCAAAATCCGTTAGGCGGATCTGTATAATCTACAATCTACATACCTTTTTGGGGTCTTCATGAGTGCCAAATGTGAAAAGCCGTGATATTAGGACAAACACGCAATACCCACCATAAACCCAGCTGCGATGACATCCATTCAGCTAATAAGCACCCTAGAAGGGATATGTACGGGTATGTCAAAATGTTCAGAGGAGCTATGAACAAATACTTGATGGGTGGCGTACTGGAGAGTCGACGAGTTGGGGCACCTAGATATCATAGATGCGACGTGGAAACAGGTTAGCCGCATCCAGCTAATTGGTTGAAGCATGGGGCACAAGTATCGTACTTTGTGCTTCAGGTTGAAACTTTAGCCACTGGTACCTTTCACCAATTGGTACGCCTCTTGCGCCAAGTTCGCAGTACATATTGTCCAAACTTTCAAGATTTTCCACACTCCACAGCTTGACAGCTTGCCATTCCCGTCCATCCATTCACCAACTGTCCAACTGTCAAACCTGAGCTTTCCGCTTGGCTGGACTCTGCGCCATCAGCATCAGCCATACGTCGATTCCACGCGATTCGATCGCCGTGACGTCTGTCTTTGCGCTCGCAATCGGATGCGCCTCTGGATGCGCCGTAGGCGCATGGTATCCCCGTCCGGTTACACTGCGGTTTTTTGTTCGATCTTGGATGGTCTTGGTGGAAATTGTCCATCACCCCATTCGCGCAACGCTGAGAGGGTCCAAATCGTTTGATCAGTTCGCCTGTCTCCTTTGACCAGGGGCCGCTTGTAGGATTCTGTGTTTCTGGACAGGGAGGCTTCGGTGTTTGCCTGTGTTTGCCCAGTCAACCAGTCACGATCATCGGCACCAGGCTGGCGCGGTGCCGAAAGAATGCCATGTGATGGTCATGTGGTTGAACAGATTGTTCAAAGCTATATATGTCGCACCGCATGCCCAGGGAATGGAGTTCCTCTCATCTAATACACATTCTTCTCCATGCCCATAAGCCGGTCCTGGTGTATCATGATCGTTGCAACTCTTTTCCGGTCTGATACAGGGTTGTTGCTGTTTGAGTGTTTTGGCGATTGTGATTATTGACCTCATACAAGGGCCTTACTAATTACTAGTGGCTCCTGGCATTACTACTAGGAACAAGAGCTACTAAGTGAATTTACTGGCGGGTTCTGGTGTCTTGGCCCTGTTCCTGACTCAAGCCACACAGCTCCAGCGTAGGAGGGCTCGCAGCGAATCCAAAAGCTCTCGGCGACCCTTCTCACCAGCCAGAAACACTTAGAGAATACCTACAAACAAACAGTATATTGAGCCCTTGGTGAAATCAACTCTCCTTGAAGCAGCGGATATGCAAAGGTGCATCCAACTCTTGTTTTGAGAGGATGTCCCAAGACACACATCTGCTATGAAACATTAGCAGCTACTTTAGCAGATATATATAGCTATCATTTATATATTGGACGCAGGACACCAATTCTTTGTCTCATCACTGGGTCCAAGACACACCTGTCCCCGATCGATCGATACAGGTGCGTCGTCTTCCCCCCTCCTAACATCGGTCTGGGGACGTCAGTTCTCCTCAAGGAAGAAGTGAATGGGTTCTCCACTTCCATGTCATCTGACTTGGGAGACTACATCTCTTCATCTCCTTTTTCACTCGTGGCTCACCAATGGTGGCGGCTCCTGGGTCGGACGCCCCGCTGAAAGAGTGGATAAATGTGGGGAAAGAGCGCTAACATGGTAGCCAAAGACCTTCTAAGGGATGCAAATAGTGCGGCCTTTGTGTTTGCATACTTTGCGTAGTTGACGGCTTTGTGGGTTGGAAAAGAAGCACTTCTCATTCCTTCATTGGCTAGTGATGGTCCAACGAGTGAGTCTGAACCACGGGCGTGAGGGCCACCATGTATGGCGCAGGGCAGCAAAGACAAAGACAATCTTGATAGGTTGACGATGTGAGGATTTGTTTGCCATTATGATTGTCCGACAAATCTTCACATCTGTCTGTGCCAGTGTCCTCATCATCCTCTTCCTCACATTCCTCAGGCTTTGTTGCAGCTGTTGCAGCTGCTGGAGGTCTCCTGGTGGTCAGAGAGTGGAACGAGTAGGTCATTGTATGGCTGACGTGATTGGGAAAGAGGATGCCCACTGATTCGAGCGACGGCACGAAGGAAAAAAACATGGATTGGAAGACAGCACTGAGATATGTACAATACTGACTCGACTCCTGATTTGATCCATTGAATATATAAATTCTAACCTGATGTGGGAGCCCTTGCTTATTTGGCTGTCAACCTCTGACCTGGTGTGAGATCAAACGGTTAATGAAACACGCAATAACAAAGTACTGTATGTTTTGATCCTTGCAAGTCTAGTTGTAGATACTGTATGTATATATAGTACAGTAAGGTAAACAAGTATATAAATATACTTATAGCTAGCTTGATGACTAATTAAACATGTTTGATCACGTTTGGCCAAAGATACAGGAAACATGGTCTACATCATAGTGTGCGTAAATCATAAAACACTGTTAGTAAAATACATCGCACAACACGGCACAACATCTATCTGTACCTATCTATCTACATCTACGTATCTATTTATCATTATTTATCTATATGATAGTTCCTCCGCACTCACCTCTCGGTCATGCTCTCCTCACGTGCGACGCTTTCGCCTGAGACTGTGCCGAGAGGGGCGCCGGCCTGGCGAACGCCCGAAGGATCCGTCGGCTGGCAGAGAGATATCCGTTGGGGCGGGAAGCTGTGTAGGAAGAGTGGTAAAACCAACGATGAAACCGATGAAGATGCGGATCTAGTGAAACACACAGCCTGCTTCCAGTTCTATGTTCAGCATATTTTGGACTGTGAACATCTGTGACACCTCAACAACGAAAACCAAATACCCCCCAAACGGCCATAAGCGATGGGCCCAAAGAAAAAAACAGTGATGGCTGGCGTCTGCGGGGGCTCAAAGAGAAGGTTTGCTTGAGGAAGCAAACTGGTCAAGTTCCTGGATACCACTCTGGCATGGTCAACCCGTAGCAGCTCCAAGTTCTGCTTGTAAATCGGGGCAAGAGCTCCTGTTAAAGTCTGAGATGGATCATGCATAATCATTCATCTTTCAGAATTTACTAGTTTTTTGCATCATCCCGTCTTTCTTCAACAGCAATGGCTCAAGCCATCTTACATTGACAGCAGGATGCAACAGAAAGAACCCGAGCTCTGCATCTTCTGGGTTTGAAGACTCCGTGCTGTGCATCACTACTCACCACCCACCCGGGTGGGTGGTGCGCGCCACTACGCATTGCACGCCACTGCGCGTCGACCGAATGTCATTTGCTGTTCCAATTGCATGAGGCCGATGGTCAAAAGCACCCCCACATACACACACACCCACACACCGCTGCGGTCAGCTTGGTAACATGACATGTGACATGTTACAGATGTTCATTGCCACACCTCACTCAGGTTGCTAGTAGTAACAAGAAGCTAGTAGAAACAAGTGCCACGCTACTAGGAACAAGTGCCTTACTAGTACTAACAAGAAGCTAGTAGCTTTACTTTGTTTATAGGGCCCACCCAGTCGATGATTTCGGTCGCCGGTCCCTGGTCCCTCCCTCCCTGGGCTGTCCACCGCCCCTGGGCCATCCAGGCTGTTGCCAGCGAAACCACTCACAGTGCTGTCCAGCACCTTCTCGTGCCAGCCGTGTGCGCTCCTGCGAAGGTGGAACCAGGTCCCAGCATCGGCGGCGCCTGGACCTCTCACCTGGACCTCTCAAGGTCCTGGTCCTCTGTCCACAAGCTATGCCAATGGTCCTGACCTATAGTAGACCACCAGGGTGCTATCTCTAAGTAGACCACCAAATTGGTCTATCTCTAAGTCTGTCTATAGCACTAGACCCACTGGATTTCTGGAAGCCTTGAAATCACTCTTCTTTTGTTATTGCTACTCTGTAAACCAGTTATCGATATATATATAGCTATCGTAATAGCTATTCAATGACCACGTAGTTCAACTTCATGCTCTTCATCCTATGCCCCAAATGCATGTCAGGTTCTATATTACGCTCAATTTTGCTCCACTATGCTGTTCATATGCTGTTCATCGCACCGTCGTGAGCAGGCACACCTTGAAGTGTTTGCTGTAGAAGCCGTTCTGCCAATGTTCGCGCTCGGGCGGTGGATAGTCCTCTGCACAGGGCTGGCTGCACAGCGGGTTTCGGACGCTTGCCTAGTACATCCTCGTACCATCATGGCACTTGGACTTCACCAAAGCTTGGAGGACGTTGATTCTAGCTGGCACTGTGCCCTGTGGTTGTCAGATGCAAAGCCAGCTTCAGGGTTGACTGCCGCATGCCTGACCTTGGCTTGAGTTTCTCGCAAGGAAACAACAATGCCTCTTCTCACCCCATGAACCATACCCTTGTCCATTCCGTTTTTGGAGGGTCTGGAGATATATGATATATTTCATAGCTGGATAATAATAGTATGGTGGATTTGAACATACACTGACTCATAAAGACTCGTAGACCCCCAGCCAACATTCTACCCCTGGCCGGCCGTACCAACCTTTGAGCCCCCCACCAATAAGAGGCGACTGAGCGCCATCTCGGCTTCTTGCCCCTCTTCCTCGAGCCAAACCTCCCAGGTGTTTTCAAACAAATACAGCTGAAGACGCATCAGGATGTGAACAAAGAAAACATTGAACAAACTGCAAGCTATGAACACAGAGTCTGACCCTATAGGATTTTCTTTTTTTATCTTTTTTTTAGGGTTTTCCTATCCTGATCCTTCTGTCTAAGTGTGTTGTTAATGAATACTGCTTTGTTGGGCTCATGCTATGGGTCAGCCTCTCACTTCAGGTGAAGTTTCGGCAAATCTTGCGCTCTCAGCCCGGAGTGGTTCTAGTCTAAACCACACATGTACCGGTACCGCACAACTACACATGCAGTATACCCAGCTTATCCCAAGACCACCAGTCACAAAAGGGATGACACGTGAGTCATTGACTCTTCCTGGGTGTCACATTGCTTTCTGCCACAGAAGGAGCCCCTAGTAGCGTTCTCGCTCCTAGTAGTATTCCTAGTAGTAAGGCCAGGAGCCCCTAGTAGCGTTCTTGCTCCTGATAGCAAGGCCAGGAGCCCCTAGTAGCGTTTTATTTCACCTGTGCAAAAACTTTCAAAAAGGATGTGCCCGGGCAAGGACAAGGCCCAGCAGGCAGGGCGTGTGTTTGTGTGTCGGTCCATGGATGGCGATGCTGGCGGGGGCCGGAATTCCAGAATGCACAGCTAAGCTGAGCTGTAAAACACACAATGAATTGGACAGCAGGTTCATACCGCATGGCACAAACCCATGCAAACTAAATCATCCTTAGGTCTGTTTTGATGGGGGAATTCGACCGACTGCCTCTGCAATGGCCCAACAAAAACCATCATCTCGGCTCTGAGGCGCCGAGCAGAAGGATTCATCTCGGTCAGGAGTTGCGCCTGCCGCGAGTCGCATCGCTCGCGACGAGGTCGTGCACATGGCGGGTCGCTCGTGATCGATGTGTTGCTGATCGATGGCTTCACTGCTCAGGTCAACCCGGATGGCCCAAAGAAACAAATGGTACCACACGTCAATCTTATATACATTGCACTGTAGTACTCCCTGTGTTCATTCATCTCTGAAAGGACAACGCCGGAAGACAGCAGCTGCAACGGCAAACAAATGGGTGACAAAAGCGAAGAGTCCTGAAGCACGTGCAACTGTACTGCCTGTTGTTAAGTGCAACCCCCTTTCGTGGCCAAGAGCTGCAAACTAAACATTCGCAACGCACATATGCGAAAAATGCACCGAAGCAACTTCAACACGTTCCAACAAATATATACTCAGTGGATTGCCCAATGCTCCAAAAGAAGGCTGTGTTTGAACCATACGATACTCAAACCATCATGTACTATCACATACTATCACCACTCGCTATCCATATCTCAACGCCTCCAGAAGCACCTCGTCCCCGCGATCACGGCAATCCTGCTGGAATTGGTCAAAGGGTTGATGTGAACACGGGATGCCGGGGATCCACATTTTGTCAGGCTTCAGAACGACCTTGGTGAATTTCTGAAAGGTTTCAGGTGAAAACCCAGGTGAATATCTCGGGCATCATGAGAACCACCAAGTGAAGAACATCAATCTGGGGGAGATTCCGGCTCTAATGTAGACCTGTGATTAATAAAGCCCCCTAGAATAATGTCTGTTTTTTTTCCTGCACAGATTAATAAAGGCCCCCAGAATAATTTTTTTGGGGGGGGGGCAGGGATAGTTGTAGTGGAATATGTTTAATAATATGTTTAATTGTTATAGTTTACTTTTCCCTTTTGAGTTTGCTGGGATTTGCTTGTCTTACAGGCCTTTGGATGGAGAATTCTATTAAACATTTGAAGATTTCCATTGAGATTTGATGCTTTTGGAGGCTTTTGGATGCGATTTCTATTCAAAATTTAGAGATTTCCATTGAGATTTGATGCTTTTGGAGGCTTTACTTACCTAAGCTCTTTAGTCGTTAAGCTTTCCAAAACTTTC